TAGTCGTTAAGTCGTGTCCGACTCTCCGTGACCCCATGGACCAGATCACGCCAGTGCTCCTGTCTTCCACTGTCTCCTGGAGTTTGGTCAAATTCATGTTGGTAGCTTCAATGACACTGTCCAACCATCTCGTCCTCTGTCATCCCCTTCTCCTCTTGCCTTCACACTTTCCCAACATCAAGGTCTTTTCCAAGGAATCTTCTCTTCTCATGAGATGGCCAAAGTACTGGAGCCTCAGCTTCAGGATCTGCCCTTCCAGTGAGCACTCAAGGTTGATTTCCTTCAGAATGGATAGGTTTGTTCTCCTTGCAGTCCAGGGGACTCTCAAGAGCCTCCTCCAGCACCACAATTCAAAACATTTCTTTACCTTGTGCTAAAGAAATATAAATATGCTCAGTGTTTCTCTTTCATTATCCCAGGAATCACTATGAATTCCTTTAAATTTTTCTCTCCCATGGGGGCCATCTTTTGCCTTCAAAATGCAAGAAGTCTCTCCTGCATTTAGATTCACCTAAACTTTGCAGTTCCAGTAGTGTTCTGCTTTCTTCATTCTTTATTGGCCAACTCAGATTATTCACTCTTTCTTACTGGTATTAGAATCAGTAATGTTGGGCGTGAGGGGTTAAGACAAAACCTATACAGTATCGCCTTCTCCTCTTGGTTGTTGCTCTTGAGCTATGTCCCCATTTTGGTGAAATGCAGTGGCTAGTCTGTTGCGCAAATCATGTCTCTGTAAAAATCTTTAATACTTCCAAGTTGGTCCATCAATTACATACACATTGGCTGAAATCCTGGTGCTGAATCCAGTGAGTTGCAACTATTTGTTTATTTAAAATATATTTACCCCACCTTCCTCCTAAAAAAGGATCCAATGCAGCTTACATCATTACAAACGCAATATTAAAAACTAAAAACAGGACATTATTCAAATATTAATGAATTAATAACATTATATTTAAAATATTAGGTAAAAAACACTGGGAGAAACAGATTTTGAAGCAACAAAATAGAAACTATCCTGTTTATTATTTCCTAGAGAGTCAGTCACCAAGGAAAACATGCCTGAAGAGAAAGGTCTTGACTGCTTGCAGAAGGACGGCAAAGATGGGGGCCAGCTCACTGAATTAGTGTGACTTACAGAGGGTTCACCAAATCCTCACTGACTCAATGATCCTACTCTAGTTGCAGCTTACTGTGCTAAGCAATAGAATTTCAGCCATTCTGTCTTGTAAACACACATGACAAGATGCTGGTGTAACTTTTCCAGGCTTTAGATGCAGTATGGAATCATAGAAGCCACACTATTCCCACACTGTTTATCATTGTGAAAACTGCTTATTTATCCTAATCAATCTAAGGTCTGTTTTAATGCTCAAAGAACATTAAACAATAGTGAAACAGTAAATCTTTCCCATGTTTTAACAATTGATAGCACTGAAAAAAAATACAATTGTGCATGCTTCTCCTTTGGGAATGAGTGTCTGTGGGAAGAATGCTCCTGACCATTTTTCCTTTTCCAAGGGAGGTTGTGAGACTGTGCAGATCTTGCAATGCTTTTTTTCTGCACAGAAAAAGGGGAATAACCAAATTTTAAATCTCTCTCCAAGAGTTAATGCATTCCACTGAGTTCAGCTGACATGCAACCTTGGAAGGTGGAGGACTCTCTCTCTCTCTCTCTCTCTCTCTCTCTCTCTCGTTGGAAATTTTTAAACAGAGATTAGATGTTCACTCATCTGGCATGTTTCAGTTGTAGATTTTCTGCTGCCTCACCACTGGGTTGGACTTGATGACCCTTTGGGATCTGTTTCAGCTCCAGAATTCTATGAATGTCCTCAATCCCTGGGGAAGATCTTGACAACTGGTATTAAGATGGCTACATTGCAATTATCTTGGAAGAAGGGACCCTTTATAGTGGCAACAAAGGCAGAGCAGATAATCAGCTTTTGAGCACATGCTGTGAGTCGGACAAAGCTGAAAACTGCCCTTGGCAGTGACCTTTTTTAAAAAAATAACAATCCTTATCATGTGAATTCTGATTTATGGAAACAATTTTAAAACATTTCTAGCTAGAGAATTCTCAGAAATTGGTTTACCAGTCCCTTCCTCTGATGACATCTTGAGAACGTACAGCTTGCCCAAGGTGACACAGGCTGGCTCTACTCGTAGGAGGCACAGTGGAGAACCAAAGTAGACCCCCTGAACCACAGAGCTATCCAGCCAACTATACAGCATGGCAAATTTAGTTTTTGGACTTCAGCTCCTAGAATCCCCATCTACTATGCCATGTCTGCGGTGGAATTCTGGGAGTCGTAGTTCAAAAAAGCAGCAGTGGCTCATTGTCTAGGAAGGCTAGGGAGCGACTCACTTTGAAATAACCTCACTTGCTCCAGTTGGCTGCAAGTAATTTTTCACTGTTCTGTTTTTTTTTTTTTAAAAAGCAACCCGGATGCATTTCTTTCGACAGTGAATAAGGGACTGCACCCTGTTGTCATGAATGCATATTTGGAAGTGAACAGCTGTTAGTTCTGGTTGCTTTTCATGTTGGATTGCCTTTTTAGCCTCTTACCTGATAAATATTTCAAAATCTAAAGAGGGACTTTCAGACTTCACCCTAAGGCCAGATTTTCTGAGGGACCTGTTTACAAGTGAAACACACATAAGGTCAAGCCGCATGGTTCGTCTCATGAGGAGGCCTCCCAATTGAAGAGAACACTCCAATCTTTCAAAGCAGTTTCTGATAATGTTCAATGAGGAAACTGGTTTAAATAAAACCAGCAGACCTGAGAGGATTTACATAGACTGGCATGCCTCTACAAACTCCCTTTGAACTCAGTAAAACTGCAGACTATGAAGGCTGTAAGGAAGGGCACAGGGAACCACTGCGATTAGGTGAAAGCAGACAACCATAGGCTATGTTATTCGTTTTGGCTTTTTTGTTTTACTTTTTACTCTAAAGCCAAGGTCAGCTAACAGCTTTTAAGGCGTCTCTTTCCCAGAAGGAACATCATTATTATTGTTTCCATTTTACAGGTTGGGTGTGTGTGTGTTTGAACATAGGAAATAGCACTAGACGCATATGTCTTCAACTAAACATTATTTATTAAAGCCTCCTGGAATAAAGTGTAGTACCTGACTTTACAGAAACGTAAAAATTAAGGCCCAGAATGGTCCTGGGCCGCTGAGGAAGCAGTGCAGTCCCCCAGTCGCTCCTTCTGACTTCTGCCCCCAAGCAAGTTTGGATGGCTAAGCTCTCTACCTTCTGTGACTGCTTCTCAAAGACACCACATACAGCAGAGGACACCAAGTCGGAGAGCGTGATTTGTCCAAGGATGTCCAATATGTTGTTAGCCAAACTAAACACTGCTTCAAGTTATCCACTCATGCCGTAATACTTCGTACATAGCAGAAGGGGGGCACAGATTGATACAGGGAAACATGGGCACAGTTGGGAAGAAACTTATGGGCCACAGGAAGAATTGAGAGGCAGTACATTGTTGTACATCTGGTTTCTTGCCTACTGTTTATTGTCAAAGAGAAGCTTTAAACAATAAGTTTCCAGAGAGGGCCAGTCCAAGGGCTGCTACCATGGTTCCAACGTTACCTGGGTGCATCTGCAAACCATCATGGAGATTTCCCAGAATGCCTTGGTGTTACGTTGCATTGGGAGCACTGGGGGATTGTGAGAAATTAACATGCCAGCTTCTAGACACTATGGGCATGCTGAGGCTGTCACCACCACCACCACCACCACTAACCAGCTCCATTAATGTTAGGAAGAGATCTGCCAGAAGGTCTCATGTCCTTCAGATGTGGATCCACTGCCATGCTAGTGTCTCAAGACAAACTGTGACAGTCAAAAAGAAAGAAGCCATGGGGCAACTTCATCTAAAAATGTAGACCCCGTTCCACATTTGTGTCAAAAAGAAAGGCTGTGCTTATTAAAAATTAAATTGTTTTGTTGCTACTTGCCTTTTTCTACCTTCCAACTGGATGTTTTTTAATCCACTCCAAACTTTAATCCCTTAATTTTCACCCTATTCTCTCTCACCCACCAACCAGAACTTATTCTCAGCAGAAAGACTCATCTAAGTAAGAACAGTGATTAAGATATTAGTTTTATTTAAATCCTTGGCTTTTCCTTCGCTCCAGAGGAGTCTTGGCGGCAGCCTAGACCAAGGCACTCTGATGCCACTCCCCTAGCAGCCTAGACCAAGGCACTCTGATGCCATTCCCCTATCAGGTGCTCCTCCTCTTCCTTGGTGATAGGCCAGCATGTACAGTGTAGTGGCATCTCCTGTGCCCGGGTGGCCTCGTGTTGGTATATAAGGGACCATCGGCACCATGCAGGGTCACAAAACACTGGCTTGGAGGCCCGGGTAATATGGCTAACCCAACAGTGGGGCCAGGGAGTGTGAGGATATCATTCCCTGCTAAGATGCTTGCAGATGAAATATCATGATGAAGAGTGGAGCTAGAGGTGAGTCCGAAAGGTGAGGCAGGTGTCTGCACAGTGCATTAAAAAGTAGCTTGAGCCCAGTATTACTGCCATGGCTTCCTTTGCGGAACCACTGGGAACAGGGGTTTTGAGAGATTGCTTAAAATCTGAATGACATAGCATGGTTGCAAGCCACAACGATAGAGTAGGTTTGATTGTGGCCTGCATTTGAAGAGACAAGGGAAGGGAGTCACCTTCTGCCTCAATCCACCCTGGGATGTTCTTCTTATGTGCTGTCAAGTCAGAACTGACCTATAGAGACTCTAATAGGGCTTTCAAGGCAAGCGAGCTATTTAAGGAGTAATTTTACAAGTTCCAGCTGCATTATAGAAGAGCCAGCCTGTGTGGCTTTGGGCAAGCTGTACAGTCCCAGGATGCCCCCAGAAGAAGGGAATGGCAAACCACTTCTGAATACTCTCTATCTGGAAAACTCTGAAAAAGGTCACCGTAAGTCAGAATTGACTTGAGGGCACATAACGATGATTTTTTTAATCAGTTCCATGCCCTCAGTGAATTTCCCTGGCTGAGCAGGGATTCGAACCCAGGCCTTCTGAGTCCTAGCCTACAGGGAGATAGTACACATGCAAATGGATCCGTGCCCTGTGGGAACACATCTACTGGGAACAGGAGATCAAGGATCCAGACTAAGGAACTCTGCAGGCTTGAAGTCCTGTCATACTGCACCTCAGAGTTCTTCTCTGAAGGGTAGCCGCAGACCCATTCTACGAAGGGTTCTGTTTAATTGAAGCGCTTAGCATCTGCTTTGCAAACCAGAGCACCACTGCACTGTGTTGCAGAGGGTGTAATTCCTTCACCACTAAGCAATCCCACAATCTGGGGTCTATGGGTAAATGGTTAAACAAAGGGAACACAAGAACCTGGGCTATACTGATGAATGGAGGCAGGTCTGGGGCCGCATGCTGTATATTCTGACTAGCAATCACATGTTGAGGTCCCGAGAGTAAAGGGCTTTCCAGCAGCTAGCCTGCAAACCATCAACTGGATACTCCACAGATATCCACACTCCACACTGGTTTATAGAACGAACAGAGATCGTGGAAAGGAAACATGGCTCCTCCCCTTTAAAGACTGCATCTCCCAGACCCGTTGACAACTTAATAGCCACCTGTGGTAGCAGAAACGTTTGGACCCTCCTGGCTTGTGGTCTTGGATACTAATCCGGATTCCAAACCTAGTCTCTCCCACGTTGGCCATTGATTTCATCTGGATGGACATCACGTGAAACCTTCACTCAACCCCTCTCTGACTGTTCAGTTTCAAGCTCCCCACCACCTACATCAGTCAAATCTCTCTTCCTTGGGCACAGAGTGTGCCAGATGGTGTCTCCTAGTTTGATGAAGGCAGTTCTTAGAAACAGCACCTCACTGATTTTTTTTGTTGTTGCTAGAATCAATGTTTGTAAGAAGAGATGCTTGTCAGTCACTGTGGGTTACACTTTCCTCAAAGAAGCGCAAGAAACAGCACCAAGAAGAAGAGTGGAGGCCGTTAAAAGTCTCTGATTAAAATCCAGGATGCTCAGCCTTGGTGGAGGTGCTGTCGCTCCTTCACAGCCGCACCGAGCCTCTGCAGGTGGCATCAGGCACGTTGGAAAACGGAGAGGGTTTCCAGTTCTATCTTCTTCTGTCTTGGTCCTCCTCCCCAAACTGTGTTACACACTCATATTGTGGAATCTGAAGCATGTCGTGAAAACCATCAAATCTAATCCCAGGAAATTCCAGGGAGAGGTTGGGAAATTGAGAGTGTAAGAAGGATAGACCCTGCCCCCTGCCCCCCCAAAAACAAAACAAAAACAAAACCTCAGGCCCATTGTAAGAACACCAGGAGTGCCTTTGTGGTTCACACCTCACTGGTGACTGACCGGGAGGGAATGAGGACATCTGGGGTGGTGGGAAAGAGACACAGTTGAGGGTCAGGTGACCTCTGTGAACACAGCTCCGTGATTCTGGAAGAGAGAGAGAGAGAGAGAGAGAGAGAGAGAAATGGAGGGGGGGGAGAGAGAGAGAGGCACAAAGGTGGAAATCAGGCATGCCTTTACCAGGGGAACAAATTGTTCAGGCCACAGTTAAATGCAAAGCTGCCCTGTTCTGGTACAACAAAACACAAGTTTGGAGGGGGTCTGTTTTATCACAACAGCCTTCATCTGAGCTAACACTAAAACAGAAGAGGAAGAGAAAAGAGTAGCAGAACATTTAATTTATCAAAAGGCATAATCTGGTAGCCTACAAAGCTTCCCTTGTATTCTCTGTACCTGTGCAGGTTTTTTAAATCAACAAAAAGATGTGTCCAGTTTTTAAACAGCAGACTTTTAACAGAGTGTAACAGTAGTACTTCCGTATCTGCTGGGGATTGTTTCCAAGCCCCACCATGGATACTGAAACCCATGGAATATATACATATAGAGAGAGTATATATAGTATAGCATAGTAAAAGGGTAAAACAAATCCAGAAAAAAATTATTTCCACGGCCATTACCAGAACTGGCCACTCGAGGATGCCAGAGACAATCCGGTGTATTCTGCACTAATAAGTACATATTCCTAGCACAGGCTCTGGTTTCTTCTAATGGCTGATTCTGGTGACACATGTGAAAATAATATTTTTCTGGATTTTTAAAAAAATTTTAATATTTTCAGACTGTGGATAAGTGATACTGATCTCACAGAAACAGGGGTTCTACTACACAGAAATTTGGGGGCAGTGACGCTAAAACTTTCCATAGTTTGAGGGGAGAAGACCTGCAAGTGCCATGATCCACCAGCCAGGATTGTCCATGCAGGTTGGAAGAATGTGGGCATTCTGGTCGAAAAAGAAACATTTTTGAGTCCTAGTTTACTTCTTGCTCTATTATCTGACTCTTATTCTGCTTCTGTCTTCAAGTTGGCTCAAATACTGTATAACTCATTTAAAGCAAAAGACATGTATTCTGGTGTGAATCAAATCAGAAAATAGCTGAAATCCAGTAGGGAGTCACAACTAGAGTAGACTCACCAACAGTCACAACTAGAGTAGACCCACTGAATCATTGGAATTCGACTCACCAATCCTCACTGATTCAACGGACCTACTCTAGTTGTGACTTACAGCAGGACCTCTGTTTCTGTGGAGTGCAGTTCCATCATCTACCGTGGATGCCTGAAACTGAACTGCAGATACAGCATACAAGAAGACAGGACGAAGGCCACAAAGGGATGCCCTTGCATGTTGTGTATAGGACTGCAGCAAACCACAGTTAAGTGAAACTGCGGATACCAATCCTACAGATATGGGGGTCCTATTGTACTACCTGATTTCCGCCAATAAAAAAGCACAGCACGAAAGAATACAAAATTTGGTATCACAATTCTATGCGGATGCCAGACCTCACTATGTACAGGAAGGCATGCATAGGATTGCAGCAAGTGTTCAAATTAGGCAGACTGTGCAAATTTACCAAGGGAAGGTGATTTATACTATCCTTAGAATTGTTCTACATGCGGAATCCAGGATGTTTTGCCTAGACCTATATACATACTCATGGACTATAAAGGCCAGTTTCCTTTGAAGGAGGGATGGGGAAGATGTGGATCTCCAGATGTTGGACTGCAACTTCCACTAGTGCTCACCACTGGCTGTACTAGCTAGAGCTGACTAAAGTTTGCAGCCCAACCACCTCTGGGGGCTTTTGCAAAAGCGAGAAAAATCCATCAAATGCAAGAAGAGTAAAACAGAATCCAGAATCCAAAACAAATTAAAACAGCTACCAAAGAAAGCACACACAGGCGTGATAGCAGAGGACAAAAGCAATGCAGAAACCATAAAAAGCCAGTAACACCTTTTATAAATCAAGGGAGTAAAGTTAAGGGGAGTCTTTTGGGATCTAGATGCCAGCCCCTTGGAGGACATCAGATTTTCTGCAGATTTACACAAATGTTCTCCTCTGCCACCAACACACTATAACCAAAGAAAAAGCTGACTTCTCGTGGATTTGTGTATATCTCTCCAGCCTTGTTAGTGCTCTCATGTGGCTTAATGTGTAGGTCAATGTGATGAGAACTAGAAACTTGTCCAAGAATCTGGGGTGGGTTCTGCCTTATTACACATTGGGAACACTTTTCACAAGATAAGCTCAACAGATGTGCTAGGAACACACAGGTTTAGTGGGTATTTCCTATGACATCAAAGAGCTTGTGACAGCTTTAATGTATGATATAATTTACCAAAAAAAGTAACTGGAAGGATCAGTAGATTGATCGTCTACCCTCTGGGGTTGGAAACAATGGAACACGAAATCCTTTCCAGAGTTTAACTTGATTAGCACCATCTTATATGCAAAAAAACATAATTAAGGTTTTCCCTATATAGTCATATTAAGAAGAAAAATGTTTTGAAACTGAGTGTGAAATCCAGGCAGAATTCTAAGAAACAGGGAAAAATTAAACAAGATGCTTAGCTCAGATTTAGAAGCTGAGAGCAAGTTAATCCATTTTTAGATCTGTGTGCCTGAGCACTCAGACTTTCAAATGAAACCTTTGTTTACTTCTCAGTGATCAATCACAGAATAAAATAAGCTGATTTGTGGTGGGAAAGCAAATGTCTTTTGCCACTTAAAGAGACTCCACTTCGAAATGCAGAGCTGAGCGTTTCGTGTCCTTTGATCCACAGATGCTAATTGTCAGAACGAAAGCACCCGGGCCCTACAAAAGTATCTTACACCTATAGTCTGAAAATCCATGTGACAAAGTCAAATTAATTGTTCAAGACTTATTGCTCCTGGTTTATTGTTCTCTGCATTATCAGATAATGCTGGGATGATCTTTAATATTTCCGTTGTGCTTTTGCTTCCTATACACTTTTTCGTGACAAATACCTTTTTGTTTGAGGCAGCAGAATCTCCTTCTGTGGGTCTATAGTTCCTACACTTAAGGGGCTGCCTATCTGCTCACATGCTACAGTGAATTCTGGTGTTGGGAGGCCAGCTGAGTACAGGACCAACCTAGCTGGAAACCATTTTAACTAAGGACATAGGAAGCTGAGGGTTAGACCATTGGTCCATCCAGCTTGCTGTCACCTACCATGATTGGCCTTGACTCTGCAGAGTTTCAGGTGGGGTTGCTTCCCAGCCTTACCTGAATAAGCTAGAGGTGACTCCAAAAACCAGCTGCAGGCAAAGCATGCACTCTGCAATGGAGCTACACGGTTTCCTCAAGCAGCTGCATTGAAATGCTCAGATCAGGATTCTTAACTTTCCCTACTGCCGCTGGATTTGTGGTTTCATCTGTGGAAAACATCTGCTTGCACTTCAGTATTCTGGCTCAGGCTGTTTCTCTTCCTACCTCTGGGTGGCTGGGCAGTCTCATTTATGCTACTCTGGGCCGCGCTGCAGCCACTGTTATTGCCCATGCTAACTTCCTTCACAAACATTGTTCTCACTCAAGGATCGGTCAGCAAGGGGGAAAGGATGGCATCTTGTACGGGGTCGGTTTTGGCCCAAAAGGAAGTTCCCCCTCCCTCCTCCAGGAGCAGGCACTTACTCGTAGGGGCGGGCCATCGCCGCGCTGCCAGGCGCCGCCAGGCGGAGAGATCGCGCTAGCTGCCTTTCCAGGCCTCTGGAGAGTAGCGTAGAAAACTCCTGTTCTTCTGGGGGGTCCCTCACCTGCTACATCCCCCCCACCCCAAGGGGAGCAGCACCAGGGCAGGGGAGGGGGAGGCAGACATGGATGGATGGGAGAAAATGACACAGAAATTGACACAATTAGCTCCTTGCTTATCACACACCACTTGGACTGGTGGGGGGGGGAGGAGACAATGGAAGAAGGTCAGGGATTTGCCCAGCAACAGGGTATGAAGAATTGTGGCTCAGAATAAGGGGATTCCGGAAGGGATCCAAAATTCAGGAAGGGGAGAGCAAAGAACTGGTGTGTTGGAAAGGCCCATGAAGCCTCCATGAGTGTGCATTCATGCCTTTGATGTGGCCTCCCATTGCTGTCTATTGGGAAGCATTGGGTTTGGGCAAAGGGACAGCTCGGGTCTATGCCCAGTCTTACCATTCTATGATGTCCCCACAGGGCTCAGCTACCCCACCTGCTCCAACGTGTTGTCCTCCAGGTGTGGCTAGACTTCCAGCATTCTCAGCCAACACTGCCATGTTGGCTAAAGAGGAATTGGACCTGGAGAGCACCAGGGAAAGGAAGGCCGCTCTATACTGTCAAAACCCAGCCACAACTAAACGAACTGAGATCACCTGAAGAATGGTGATGGTGGTAGGTTGTCATTAGATCAGAAATGGTTTCTGGCCTGAAGACATGGAAGTGGAGGAGGAAAGGGGTGGAGTGAATGGCTCCTGAGATGAGCAAGATGCAAGGCCAAGGAGATCAGGAATTCCAGAGACATGACAGGGACTCCTTAGAAGGCAGCTCCTTTGATGTAAGACTCCCAAGATGGAGTGCCATCGTGCCAGTTGGCCTCTCCGTCAAGGGAGGCAGCTCTAACTAGGGACCCGAGACTTAGGGCGAACATGTTTCACTATCATGGCTGGAGAAGCTGAGAAGATATTTGCTAGGCCAGGATGCCACATCTTTCTCCTTCTCCTTCTCCCACTCTCCATTGCTCCAGCTTCTCTCCTGGTTTCCACCTCTTTCTTCCTCGCCTACTCTGAGGATAACTCTCCGCTGTCAAATCAACATTTTCAGTAAACCCAGGAAGAAGCCTGATGATAGCTTATAGGTTAATAGTTTTTAAACTGGGCATAAGGTGCCATGGATTGAGCCCCTCCCATCAAAAACGTACGTCAAATAAAACGTGTTGGTCTAAAGGCACCATCAGACTCTTGGTGTATTTCCAGCAACAGACTGGAGATTCACGTGGCTACCTTATTGGGAAGACCTCTTGTAAGAATTCCTCTCCTTCCCACCCATGAACCCAAGTGACCTTTCCTTGGCACAAGCTCCCTTTTATTCTGGGCATCAATCTCAGGCATCTAGTGCACACTTCTAAAGCTCTATTAACTTCAGATTGCATGTTAACCCATTAAACCTTTTTTGCATAGTGTTCCTTTTATTTTTCTGTAGCTACTTATGTATATAACAAGGCATGATTTTTTTTTGTAAAAAAGAAGTACATGTGTTTACAATTCTTTTAAAGGGGGGTGGGGGTGGGGGAGCAAGGAAGGTGACCAGGAATTAGCAGGAAGAACTCTCCATGCAAGTGGAGAAGAAAAGGGACATTGCTGATATGAGATGCGTTAAGCAAACCCAGGGCCTAATCAGAGGAGCGGAAAGAGCAGAAAGCATAACATGAGGGAGGGAGGGAGGGACGGAGGGGAGAGACAGAGATGAGAAGCCAAAGGTGCCAAAGGGACGAGGTTTTCCCGGATGTGAAGCAGGAAGCAAAACCTGCCTTTGAAAGATGCTAGGGAGCCAGTCTAGGAAATGGGGGGAATGATATGATCACACCAAATGGGTTATACAGACTATACTGACTTGGAACAGAAACAAAACACTGAAGGTCACTGACAGACAGAAAGAAAGCAAAATGTGAGGAGCTTGGTGGTATGAGAAGCGGTCGAAACCTGGAGCAACCGAGGCAGACAGGAATGAATTCTGGCCATATTAAAAAGAAATGAAGAGCATCAATTGGCAAAGACAGACAGATAAGGTTAAAAGAGAAAGAGAGCACTTTAACACCCACACAATAAGGCAGCACGCTTGGTTAAAGGGCTAGCAGAACAAAATTACAGTTACAGAAAGCAGGAAATGAAAGCTTTAGGAGGAACTGGCAAGAACTCTGTTTTGTGCGCATAAATGAGTGGTCAGTAAAGATGAGTTTCTGAAGAACTCACAGAACAGCTTTATGTATAAAGATGACATGAAAAGGAGACAAAGAGAAGAAGATTTACTATGAGGGTAGCAGGTACTGTGTGTGCAAATTTGGGTCTGGAGGAGAGTGTCATGGAGACCACTGTCTGGTGACAAGGTTGATTGTCCTAGATAAGTGCTGTGAGTGTCTGCAAGTTCAGAGATACACACAAAAAATGCATATACAGTGAGGTCTCTACTTAAGAACTTAATCCGTATTGGAAGGTGGTTCTCAAGTTGAAAAGTTCTTATGTTGAATCTGCATTTCCCATAGGAATGCATTGAAAACCATTTAGAAGATTTACTATGAGGGTAGCAGGTACTGTGTGTGCAAATTTGGGTCTGGAGGAGAGTGTCATGGAGACCACTGTCTGGTGACAAGGTTGATTGTCCTAGATAAGTGCTGTGAGTGTCTGCAAGTTCAGAGATACACACACAAAATGCATATGGTCAACTTAGTGTGGCTGAGAGTGGTTCACTTAGGCATTTCAAACCTAGGGACACAGATTTCTGTTTCTGGATATTTCCAAAATTAATCTGGGATGGGTGTTTTGCATGAGACATTTGTCAAATTCGGAATGTTCCCTTGTGGTACAGAGCTAAAACTCTGCTCATGACCCAGGTTCAATCCCAGGTAACCGGCTCGAGGTTCACTCAACCTTCCATCCTTCTGAGATCAATAAATTGAGTTGCCTAGCTTGCTGCAGGAGGGGGCCATGTGTTAGCCTCTATGATTAACTTGTAAACTGCCCAGAGAGAGCTTTAAGTGCTATGGGTTGGTATATAAGCAGCACACTTTTTTGCTTTGATTGACCAGAGATGGCTCTGGCAAATCATGTCAGAACGGCTGGTCAGCAGCAGCCCACTTGGCCCACCATGTTGTGAAGGGAAAAGATCACATGGCAGAGGTTGCATAGCCCTTTTTTTTTTTTGATGGGAGGCCAAGCAAGTCCCACCCCACAGAAAAGGGGATGCTCCTACTGCTTTTTTAGGTTCCCTCTCATCTTCCTCAACTCCTTGCTTTCTCTCACCACACATTGATCTGTGCTCTCTCTCTCTCTCTCTCCGTGGCTCTCTCTCTCTTTCTGGTGTCTTCTGCCAAGCTGCTCTCTTTATCTGAGGAAACTTCCCTTTCTCCTTAACATTTTGTTGAAAACCCAGTTCTTCCACCACCCTACTTTCTGGACTACCTTTTTCTCTTGCTGCGGCTGCCTGATACACTGCCTGATCACCCACTCATTGTCTCCACCTTCACTACCAGTTGTTATCAGGCTTCCTCCTCTAGCTTTATCTTGTCTAACATACCAGGATTGCCTGAGCCGTGAGTTACAGAAGCTATGAATATTGTCTTCCCTGTTTGCTCCCTGGTTTTGTGCATTGTTTATAACCATATCCTACTTTTCTTCCATCATGAAACTGAAGCCACCATGCATGCGGTTCCCAGGAGGCCAGCCATCTGTGCCTGGATCAGGCCCAGGCCTCCCATACTGCAACAAAATTCCTGCATCTGGTGTGCTTCCGTGTTTTATGGAAACATTTCCTTGAGTAGTTGTTACCCCTGTCCTGAGCAATGAAGTATAAGCCCCCCTGTGTTATTTCTCTAGCCCTCTTTGTCTTGCACAGCTGCTTCCTGGATGATTCAACTGCTCCAGTTGATCAGCCTGTGCTCCTAGGCTCTCACCTTCCTTGGGCCACCTATCAGGAAAAAGATTTGGTACCAGGGCTTGCTCATGGTCTTAGGATTTAAGCAGTGTTTTTCACTTTCCCTGCTATCCCTTTGTTAAAGATGCTACGGTTCACAATCCGTGCTGCACTGTTACCTCCTGTGTCCTAGCACTCCAAGCAATGCCCAGCAGTAAATCTCGACTCTATTTCAATTTCCCACCATGCCCTGACATTGTGTTGCCCTGAAGCCATGTGGGATATTTTGATATCAGCTAGGCCTATCTCTTTGGCACTGCTACTGCTGTCTTCCCCTCCCCAGATATAAGTCTGGGGAAGGGAAGACAGCAGTCTTCCAAAATGCACCCAAAGTGCTCTGTTCCCACTGGCAAGGGAAGGGGGAAACGGGAGGGCACATTTTGCCCACAGTTCCCTCAAGCTTGGAGTTGGGTGTACGAGTGTGTATGTGTGGGGGTGTGCATGCATGTGAGTGTGTGTGCATATATATATGCAGGCAGGCTGAAGAGACTTCTCAAGCCTTCACAGAACAGGAGGCATGCAGTTGGGTATCAGGGGTGGCCCTTACCTGAGCCACACTTAACTTTTCAATGGAGCTCTCCACACAGGGTAATCCCATGACTGGAACGCTGGGCAGATTTTCCGGAGTGGAAGCTTTCTTGGTTGTAGATGGAGTGCTTTGGAAATTGTTGACCACACAAGTCACCTGCCAGGGAGCGAAGATCGAAGAATGAAACTTGTCCTCTTCCTGCTTCTTAGCACCCCAGTGCTCTTATCTATGCTACGCAGAGCAACTGCCCACACTGTAGAGGATCTATTACAGCTGATGGCATTGTTTTGCCCTGTTCTTGCTGTTCCTTTATCAAGCCCAGAGGCCTCTTTTCAGCTTGGCCTCACTCCCTCCATTCCGATCCCAGTCCCTCTGCTCACTAGTGATGCTGAACCATTTGTGGCAGACGTCGAAGGCACATGGCTCTCGAGGTGTTGTCAGGCAGCAGCTTCCGTCATCCTTCCTCACAACACATTCCCTACTCAGACTTGGGGCCAAACAAGTCATAATACCGGAGACTCCAGAAGCATCTCCATGCCTTCTCTTTCAAGATGAAATTCAGGCAAGTGGGGCAAGAGAGCCGGAAGGGAGAGTAGTTTGGTCAGAAAGTGATTGCTGCAGACAGATCAAAGTGGCCCTTCCACTTATCCGTTGATGTTTTAGTCAAAGAAGTAACTCCCAGCCCTGCCTGCTGCATTTCAATAAATATACAACAGCAACAACACTTGTCAGAACTGGGAGAATAATTGTGGTCTGCAATGTCATAGCAAATTGATTCCCATTTTTTCCCTTTCAGCTGTTCATTAATTCAGTTCTTTTTTTTAAAAAAAAGCCCTTCATTTTATGAATTTGGGTACAGTATTGTGCTTGTGTATGCATAATTCAAAATGCTAGGAATTAGTCTGATATTGCTGCAGAATATCATGCCTGCTTTGCCAGCAGGAAAAAGGTTACCAGGCTTTACTTAGCAAAGGATAGCCTGAATGTTGACAACACCCATGGCAGCAGTCCAATTGGTCTACAGGTTTTTGAAGTGGTTCACTATTGCCACCCCCAAAATGAGTTTCTATGACTGAAGTCCTAAGTCCTCTTACTCCTAGTCCAATGCTCTATTCACTACACCAAACCATCACTTGCTATAGTGTAAGGTAAAGGTTCCCCTTGACATTTAGTTCAGTCGTGTCCGACTCTAGGGCGTGGTGCTCATCCCTGTTTCCAAGCTGTAGAGCCAGCATTTGTCCGAAGACAGTTTCCGTGGTCACGTGGCCAGCGCGACAAGACATGGAATACCGTTACCTTCCCATCATGGTGGTACCTATTTATCTACTCGCATTTTTACATGCTTTCGAACTGCTAGGTTGGCAGGAGCTGGGACAAGCCATGGGAGCTCACTCCATCGCGTGAATTCGATCTTACGACGGCTGGTCTTCTGACCTTGCAGCCCAGAGGCTTCTGCATTTTAACCCGCAGCACCACCACGTCCCTCCTGCTATGGTGAGGGGCACATAAATGAACCAACTCTGCTTCCTATAGCTGGGATTAAGTTTACCCCCAGAAGGCCTCCCTAGTCAGTCCCCACTTGAAACCTACATAGCACAATCCTCGTGGCCAAAGACACCTTACCCTTCTCCCTGCAGGTCCAGGCCTTGCGCCAAAGAAGGAGGCCATCCAGCATCCCAGCAGCTGGGCTTTTCCCTACACACTCTGTGGAGTCAACTGCCCCCTAGAGGCTGTGCCAGGAAAGAACGGTCACTTACCAGGAAAGTGGCAATGGCCCCACCCGTGAGGAACCCAGCCAGCACATCAGACCAGTGGTTCCGGTACTCAGCCACACGCACCACGCCCACCAAAAAGGCAGGGCACAGGAGTGCCAGGCACAAGGAAGGCTTGGCCAAGCGGGAGCCCTTCAGCTGAAAAACCAGGGTCACATACATCTACAGGGGGAAGGTGAGAGGAGGAGGAAAGAACAAGGGAGATGAGCAGGCAAGCTGGCAGCATGAAGTTCATCTTTGCTGAAGGCCGTTAAAAATGTTTAACAGGGTAACAGACATCATGCCAGGTAGAAAGGGTGACTGGGCGCACATAAAGTAAAGAAAGAATGCGGAACCACGTTCTTATTACAAACGTCGTCCCTCGTGAACCATTCTAAAACACAACTCTTTCCCAGTGATACATCTCTTCTTATTGTGAGGGAGCAAAACTTCCAGCTTGCGGGCCTGATCCGGCCTGTGGAGTTTCCCAAGTCGTTCTTCCCTCTCTGAAAAGCTTGCTCTCTCAGCAGGGAAGAGGAATTCCCAGGCCATTATTTTGTCTCTCCCTGCCCTTAGTGTCTTTCTTTCTGAAGCATATTGGCAAGAAGCCCCCAAAAGAGCCAAAGCGAAAGAAGACGCTGTGGCACCCTGAAGACCTTTTTGCCTCCATCACGGGTCGTAGGCACGCTCCTGGGAAGGGTCTCTCCCAGTTCAGCTCTGCCCTGTCGGTGGGCTGTGCCAGCAGGGCTGAAACACACTTCGGATGATGTCAAAGAGCAGATCTACGAACTGGCAAAGAAGGGTGTGATGCCCTCACAAATGGGCACAACAGCAAGGGACGAAAAGTTCATTTTGTGACTGGCAACAAAATTCTAAGGAAACTATATTTTAATGTAAGCTGTTGAAGCAGAACACTCTCTTTCATCCTGAATTAGGTGTCCAGTAGAAGGCACTGTTAGCTTCCAAACCAGTGTTTAAGATGGGCAAAATCAAAGCTAGCCCTGGTTGCTTCCTTCTGCATTGGGAGGAGGAATCACTCTCAGCCATCATCCACCACCCAGCCAGGTTTCATGTGACACACCGTTCTCTTTGCCTTTGCCTGGTCCCTCTTTCCCCACTCCTGCTTGTCTCTTCCACCCCCACCGTCTCAATGGCTCCCGGTCCTACCACAGTGTAGGCCACAGCATAGGCACTGAGGGCAGCATCCTTCGACGGGAAGGCCTTGCGCGCGGCAGCAACCAGGGCAGGGTTCCCAGTGCAGGCGGCTTTGTCTGTGACATAGACAGTGCCCGGAGGAGGCTGGCAACCCAGCGCGGTGTAGTTGGGTCGACACACAGAGAGGAAGTGCGGAGTCTGGTTGCCGGTCACCACTTGGCCAGCATTGGCAAAGATGGTGGTCGTGAAGAGACCAAAGGAATAGATGCCTGTGAAAAAGAAAGGAAGGGAACCAAGATGGCTGGCTGGCTTGAGAGGCCAAAACAGGATGGGAGGGGAAGGGAAATGCCTCCGTATTATTTCTAATAAGTAATTCAGGTTAGTGGGAGAGGCAACAGATAGATCTTGATGTGGGCCTGGGCACCTTGTTCCTCTTAAAGCCATTTAGTAACATGTAAAAAAGACAATTCATTGTAATTAGAGGAATATGTGGACAATATCAATCAAAATGGCTACCCCATGCCTGGCAGCCAACATTAGGAGTTCTGTAACCGTGTTTAGGGTTCCCCCCCTCCTCTTGCATGCTTTATGAATGCACTTCCTGACACAATAAATATTAAGTTTTCCGGAAAGAAATTACTTAAATCATTCCCTGGGTATTTATTTAATAGCCGATAGGTGGGATATAAATAAAATAAATAAACCATGTTTAGGGTTTCCCCCCTCCTCTTGCATGCTTTATGAATGCACTTCCTGACACAATAAATATTAAGTTTTCCGGAAAGAAATTACTTAAATCATTCCCTGGGTATTTATTTAATAGCCGTAAGTTAGTCCTTTCTACTCTTCCACATACATACCAAATTCCCTTCTGCGGGGGGAGGGGGAGAAGGAATACTGGCCGTGGAATAGCTAGGGAGGAACCCAGAAGCTATAGAGTCAGGAAGATTCTTGTGGGGGGGGACTGGAAATAAGACGGAAAAGGTCATCTTCCACTTACCCAAGAAGCGGATGATGCGACGTAGGAGTGGGTTGAAATAGCAACATTCGCCTGAGATTATTGTTTTCTCCTCATGTCTTTTGGGCTGGAGAAAGAAGGCAGCCAGTTCTCCAACAAGAATCTGGAGTGTGTGTGGGGGGGTAGAGAAATAGAAACACAAAAGGCACACAGAGAGAGGGAGAGAAAACAAATGAGGAAAAAGAAAAGGGGAAGCTTTGTCCAAGTCAAAATCTCTTCAGCCAAAGTCTTCTGCTGATATTGGAAGTGTGGGGTTTTGATGTGGGAGTGTACTGTATAGCTGTGTAGTTGCAATGTACACACCTAGCATGGACTTGAAAAGGGAAGGAAGATGCCTTCCTTCTTTGATGTTTCAGATATTACCTAAGCCTGCTTGTATATCCAGTTCTGACACACAGTTTGGCTATCCTCAGCATCAGCCATTTCGTCAAATCTGCTTATATTTCCATATGTAATAAGTTGGGTGGTTCTTTCCAAGCCACCTGACACTGATCGAGTGCCAGGGATGGGATATTGGAAGTTCCCTGCAAGAGATCTCAAGGGAGAGCTTTCATCTCACAGCAACACAGTGAGGGAGGCTGGCCTGGCAGTGACTGGCAGGCGGCTGTCCAGATAGCTGCTAGCAGGAGGCAAACCATACACAATGTGTAGGGGATGGTGCTAGAATTCTCAGTGGGGCTAAAGCATTAATGCTTACAGAAGACTATGAGGTTATGATTTGGCTAAAATGAGGGGAGAGTATTGGGTAGGATTTGTGGATAAACTACAATGCCATTTTATCTGTGACAATTCTCAGTCATCCAGATGAGGTTATCTGAAAGCTGAGTTAAGGCAACTGGACTTCTTTCTTATTAGGTTGAAATGTTTAGCTACTCATCCAAGTAGCTTCTTCAGTCTGCTACAATGAAGAATAGCACATAGAATAACAAAGGAGGCAGTTTTATACTCCTGAACTAACAAGACTGGAATACTGTTTTTTGTATTACTTTTAGAAGTAACTTCCCAAGCTTTAAAGAGATCAAAAGGGAAAGACAGCGACTACAACAAGCAAGCAGAGAATAAAGTAACAGGATATATTAAACCCAATTTCCTTCCTGAGGGACAATCTGAAAACATTAATGTAAATAGGGAAACATATATTAAACATGCATTTTGTAAAATGCCCTAAAACCATTTGAAGACCTATTTGAGAGTCACACCAATTATATTCTTTTGAAAGCACACAATGTGGAAATGAGATTCATATATGTATGTATTCACATAGACCAGTGCTTCCTAGCCTTGGGTCCCCAGATGTTCTTGGACTACAACTTAGAGAAATCCTAGCCAGTGCAGCCAATGGTGAAGGCTCATGGGAGTTTTAGTCCACGAACGTCTAGGGACTCAAGGTTGGGAACCATTAGCATGGACCCTTTTTTCTGTTAAGAACTGCTGTTGTTACTGCTGTTATTCACATGATATCAGTCACATGATGTCCCAGGAAAGACTGAGGTAAATGCCTTCAGTCGGTCCACTCTAACATGTTTCTTACCATGGATGAGCCACTTATTGTTGCTTGGCACCATCTAGACCAGCGATAGCAAACCTATGGCATGTGTGCCACAGCTTGCACACAGAGCCCTCTCTGTGGGCACACGAGCCACAAGTAGCTGGATCGCTACCTGCAGCAGCCAAACTTGAGGAGGCGGCTGCAGCTGCAGTGCTAGCGCCCTGACAGGTGGCAGGCCAGGACCCGGAGCAGCTGGTACTGGTGGTGGCGGGCCAGCCGAGCTATAGGCAGTGGTGGGGTTGGGCACGACTGGAGGCAGATCCGGAGTGGGGTCTGGAGGCACCTCCATGCCCGGGACTCCCCCTTCTGCTGCCACTGCCACTTCCGGTTCCGCTGCCTGCCGCCCACTGTGTTGTTTTTTCCCCCCTTCTGCTGCCACTTCCACTTCTGCCGCCACTTCCGGTTCCGCTGCCTGCTGCCCACTGGGTTGTTTTTTCTTCTTCTTTGTTTCTTTTTTCAGTTTGGGCACTCGGGCTCAAAAAGGTTTGCCATCACTGAGACACCTACGACTTCTAAATAGGCAGAAACAATGGCAGCTCCCTACAGCCTCCACAGCTTGTAAGAAGTGGAGGGAACAACCAGATCTAGGCCTAAGGGGACATTCAGAAGACCTAGCCATAACAAAGTAATCCGGCAGGTCTGATAGCTGGAGCCAAGGAACAGTCTCTCAGCTCAAATAGACTTTGCCCTCTCCCTCCCTTCTTTCTTTTAAATCATCCAAGAGGAGAGGGGAAGAGAGGGTGGGTGGGCTGTGAAAGGAGATTAGTCTGAGCAAAAGAGAAGTTATGTGGGTTGATCTCAACCAAGCCTATCTTGAGCTTTCTTCCTTTGGACCCCACCAAGGCAGAGGAATAATAATGGGGAAAGTTACATTTTTGCAATCCAACTGCCAGATCCCACAGCCACTAAGTCTTACTGACTGTGGCAGCTGTTAACTTTTATCCTCTCCAAGGAAGAAACCTGTGAGCTGTATCCTAGTCCTGGTCCTTCCATGTGCATTTCTGTGGCCTTCTTCATGTGGAGTCTAATTTTCTCAAAGAGAGAAGCTCTTAGGCATGTGGAGCCTCTGCAGATAAATTGAATAAACCCTGAAAAAGCAAGGCTCCAAGCTGCATGGAGAACCTCCATTGGCAGAGGCAGAGAAATGTCACCCCTGAGAAGGCAGCAGAACATCCAAAGGGAAGGGCAGACTTACTTTGTTTGGGAATGCTTGAAAAGGTGTCCTGCCCTTTGAATCCTCCTTGGCATAAGGATTTTGTAGCTACTGCAAAGAACTCACACTCAAGCCTGAGGGGGCAGCACCTAGCCAGCACACTAAGAGATGTCCCTGGCTCAAGATGCCAAAGATGGTCCTTCACTGAGCCCGGGCTAACATTAGCAAGCCATTAGCCCAGCCATGAGCTTCGCCATCGATGGAGCTTGTGGGCCAATGCCAGCAGCACACTCAGCATTAGCTCTTGGAGAAAGGAAGGGGCTAGACTCCAAAACTAAAATCTGTCCCTTTGAGGCCCTGCATTTGATCAACCAAACTACCTATAGCATAGGGGGCAGGCAAGAAAATATATTGTTTAGCACATCTTGAGAAGCAGACCTCCTCAAGTGTGGAAGAATATTTGTCTTATCATGAGATTCAGCTCTGAGTCTTGAAAGCTTTGTTTTATGCTCGGTCATTAGAAGGTAGACACAGAGTAGACGTGCACGTCTAATTGCCAGGCTTGCGTCTCTCAGGAAATTGTGTCGTGGGGGAAACTGTCAGCTTCTAAATATGAGCTAAGTATCTTGTCTCACTATCAGACTCTGGCATAAGATATTTTAGTAGCAAACCTCTCACTTAGAACACCCCTAAATGCTGCAACACCCTGACTGCCTTGCTGCCCCAAAGCCCATGAGCTCCTGTTACACCACCTGAACATGACAAAACGCTAGTCATAGCTATGGTTCCTGTGGACATCATTAGCCAGAGATCCTCCTGCGAACTGGGTCAGTTTCCTCCCTTGGAGGAAGCTGTCATCCAGATGCTGACCAGGGCTGACAGTCGGAGACAAGGAGGGAGCGGGTGGAACAGCAGTCAGGGTGGTGTCTGGCATTAAGTACGGCACGTGTGCCATTGATACAGACTCAAGAGAAAGTGGCTCACGCATCGAGCAGCCCTTCAGTGTTTGCATTTGTAAGTGGGCCAGTGGTTTCCACTGCATCTTTATTTATTACACAGCTCAGTTATGAGCCCATGTGCTATACTGTGAGAATGCTGGACCAGACTCAAGTATTATTGGGCTCCATAGCGCTCACTCTGTGATCTCAGGCCAACCCCTGCCTCCCAGTCTCCCCTACCTCACAGGATTGTTGTGAGGATAAGAGAGGGGTGGGAGGGAGAATAGTGGGTATGTAACAGGGATGTTGGCAAGTTTTGGGATCCATGTCCCAAGTCTGAGTCCAAGTCGTTGGTACCAAGTCCCAAGCTTATTAAAAACAAGGTTTTGTTCCCTGCAGAAAAAAAAGGTAGGAGTGGGTGGGTGGGTTCCAAGTCATGACTTAAGTCCAAGTCAATTGGGGGTGGGGGTGGAAACATGTTGAGTCCAAATCAAGTCGCTGGTGCAACTTAAGTCCGACTTGACAGCAAGTCCCGCAACTCAAGTCCGCATCCCTGGTATGTTAGGTTGGAATAAAATGTAACCGCATTTGTGCCGGAGCACTGTGTATTCTCGGTACACATATATGACTGCGTTACTTCCAAATCTGTGAGTAAAGACCACTCACATACATTTGAAGGCCACTCATTCAAAGGGTAAGTTAGAGGTGACTTGACAGCACCTAACAACAACAAAACAGCACGTGCACATCACACCTGTGCCTCACGTTTGCTTGCATGTGAGTAAGGCTGGTTTCAGGGAATTATAGAGCCTCGTACCAATGCCTCTAGAATTTTAACATAAAGCAAATTTGAGAATCTCTCCATCCATTTCCGAGCGGAACACCAAGGTTCCTCACAAATGAGCCCATGGCTTTGATGGGCCCATGCACCTCCCTCACAGCTCTTGGCTCCAGTCTTAACAAGCATGCTCACAGGCGATCTCCCCCAGGGGGGGAAAAACATGGGCAATGAATGCTCACAGAACAGAGGCAGAAATGCTCTGAAATCCTCCCACAAATTTCTGCTTTCCCAAAGAGAGGGATTCCACACCCCAAAACCCCATGCCACTTACCGTTACAGTGGGCACAGCAGTGACGAGGGAGTAGACCAGGACTGGAGGTGCTCGGCTGGAGTCCTCGGGACCCGGGTAGGGCTTGGCGTAGGCACTGTCATAGCAGAAGAAGCCTTGGAGGTGCACCGGAAAAGTATCGGTGTATTCAAAGTGGTAGGCGAGCACCACCGTGCCTGCCATGATCACCAGCTGGAAGTAGAACATGGCACATCAGGCCAGAAACAACTGCCCAAATGACTGAATGGGAGACCAAGGCAAGGAGGAGGAGAGCCAGGTCCCTAGAGCCCAGCACCCCCTCCTCCGCCTGCTACTCCGTGCAAGCTTCCTCGTGTACTTCTTTTCATGCTCGGGTGCCTGCTGTAGCTGTGCATCACATCATCATGGCTGGCGGGAGGGGCACCCGGCCTGCCTGATTCAAACTAAGGCCGACAGTTGCCTCCTGCCGCTTCAGCCCCTCCTCTCCCTGTTTCCTGAGCACCCAAGAACTCCCCTTCCTCAGGATTCATTGCTTGTGAACAATCCCTGGGGAGACACATGGCTGATCTTCAAAACTATGTACAGCCATTCCTATTCTAACTTGGCAGACAGGATAGGTGGTCTACCACGACCATATTCTCTCTCATCCCCTGTCCTGTCATAGCCATCCAATTCCTTCACAAACTCATTGCCTCGAACTTAGGAGTCTAACTAGATGTTACAGAGAGTTTATTGCAAGAAGTGGCAAATCCTTAATGTCCTAGAAACCTATCTGACTGTAATCTCATAAACTTTTCTGATCTCTTATAGCTTGTAAAATAAACTCATTTTCATACCCAGCTGACGATTGGGTATCGTCAGTTGAAACATCACTGAGTTTGCATTCTTACTGAGACAGAACCTGACGGGGGACTGCACGTGGCTGAAGCACATGTGTTTACCTTTAATAATAATATGCTCATTATAGCATCTGATTTGAGCCCAGCTGAAGAGGCATATGTACAGTACAATTCTACATAGCTTTGTGTAATGAAGCGTCTTTGGGCAAAAGAGTCCTAGCTTCATATACAGGTTGCTTTCCAAAGAAATTGTTGTCTTAGTCTGTCTCTGCATGCTGGCAAAAGAAAAGAAACACTCAGTGTCTGAGAAAGTGGACTTTGACCCATGCAAGCTCACATGGAATTAAAATGACGGTTTGTCTACAATATGTTTTGCTTTCGCTTCCTCTCCATTTTATTTTCTTTTGCCAACATATGTGCCAGTGAGGGCTGAGGCTGCAATGACTGACAAGAAAGGAGATCTTAAGGTTGTGACGGCAGGTCAATGAGTGGCTGCAGGGTGATGTGGGGGCCCTCACCACCTTAGTGCATGCGCTCGTAAACTCGAGATTAGACCACTGTAATGCGCTCTATGTGGGGCTACCTTTGAGGCTGCTGCGGAAACTACAAGTGGTGCAGAATGTGGCGGCCAGATTACTCAGTGGAGTGAGAAAATAACAACATATTTCACCCACTCTGGCCGCACTGCATTGGCTACCCATCCGATTCCGCATCAACTTCAAAGTGCTGATGCTCACGTACAAAGCCCTAAACGGTTTAGGACCTCGATACTTGGTGGAACGCCTTCTCCCACCAAGATCTACCTGTGTCACTCATGCGAGCCAGGAGGTGAGGCTGAGGAGCCTGACGCCGAGGGAGGCCCAGAAGGAAAAGACAAGAAATCGGGCCTTCTCGGCGGTGGCTCCTCGCGTCTGGAACAACTTACCTCCTGAGATTTGCGCGGCTCCCTCGCTGGGTATTTTCAAGAATCAATTAAAAACATGGATGTTTAGGCAGGCCTTCCCATCAGATAATTCCTGACGCCCTTTTTTTTCCCCTTTCCCACAGCTTTCCCATTCTAATTCGGTATTTTTGGTAATGTAAAATTGTTTTATATGTATATTTTCTGTATTATGTTTTATGTTGTTAGCCGCCTAGAGTGGTCCTCACACAACCAGATAGGTGGGATATAAATTAAATAAATAAATAAATAAAAGCAAGTTCTGTGTTCGTCACAGCTAGAGAAGGCATCAAACATAAAAATTATCAATGACCGTAATGCCTTGTTACGAATCAATGATGTGAACACACTGGGAATAATTTATGCTGCTCTGGTGACTGTTCCACAACAAGGATATTACAGAGCTGGAAAAGGTGGAGACAATAGCAGAAACTGACCAAGGGGTTGGAGCAACTCCCCATGAAGAACAGGAGGGGCACTCTCCTCATAATACTGGAATCCAGGGTTGTTCATTGAAGTTGATTGTGGAAGACTGAGGACCATCGAGGTGGAGTGTTGCTTCATACCCTGCATAGCTATATGGTAGAATTCTCTCTATATATGGTAGATGTTGTAGGAATGACTCATTCCAATGTGAAAGAGGTTGACACAATTCATAAAAGGATAAAACTGTCAATGGCTGAAGATATACCCTCTCTTGGTATGAGGAGCTATATTCCTTTGAATATGAGCTGCTGATGCTCAAGGGTGCTCTTGTGCGCATGTCCAGCTTGTGGGTTTCTCACAGGCCTTTGGTTAATCTCTCAGAGAGAGAGAGAGAGAAAAGGACTAGCCTACATAAGCTATTGGTCTGACCCAGCCCTGCTCTTGACGTTTTAATTTTGCCCCTTTCATACATTAGTACAAATGAACAGATCCATCTGTTTCTGCCCTCTGTCCATTCCACACATATTTGCCCTAAATCCATTCTGTCCCATTTCCACATTAATTTGTGATTAAAAAACAAAAAGCCACACATATATTTGCATTCAAATATGTATTTTTGAGTGTGACTTCTTTTTAAAAAAAGCATTTGGCTCTAAAATGTGCGTAACAGGAGCAGAGAACTGCATGTAAAATTTGCAGAGTGCCCGGCTAGAAGGGGAATGATCTTCATTCTGTTGTCAGCCTTATTCTAGGAGGTGTCGGTAAATACACTTTGAAATAAGGTTCGAACAAAATCCTCTTTGTAACACCTCTGAAGGGGCTTCATGCATTTAAACAGAGACCGGGCTGCACTCTGCCCAGCACCTCTCTGCACAGTGAGCTTGAAGGTCTGAAGAGGGCAGGACCTTGCGCTTGGGGTTCTCCTCACTGGCTGTCCCTCCTCAACAGGTCTCAAGGCATGTGAAAGGGGCCTGCATCACATCAGGGCCAGGGCCAATGTATAAACATGTGAGGAAAATCCCCAAATCTACTCCCAGCCCCACAACCACACCAGGCCCATAGAGACAAACACAACTTCTGCAAGCATTTCATGGATTGTGCTTGTGATGTTGGCAGGAGCTGCATTACAGTGGATTCACTCCAGGCTTCTGCTGCCTCCATTTAAAGACCCAGCTCTACAAAGGATGTAATCACCAATATTATTCTCCCTGCTTCCAGGGACACACATACACATACACAGAGAGAGAGAAAGAGAGAGAGAGAGAGAGAGAGACAGACAGACAGACAGACAGACAGACAAAACCTCTTGCAACTGGCTCCATCCATATAGAGAGTTCCTTAAAGTTACAGAGTATACTGTAAAACACTCAAGGACCCCCCGCCCCCACTTTACTTTTCTACCTTTTGAAAGAACACCTGAGGATCAAACTAACCCTGTTGTGACATACAAGAGAAGACAAAAAAAAGGCGAGAGGATTCTGGCACCTTTAACAGTTGTGTGAAAGTGGGAATTTCAGAAGGTATCGCTTGTCATGAGACATTACTGCTGCCAAAGTTGCCTTTCAGACAGTTATGGAAAGTACAACAGGACTATGTGTCTTTTACATTTGGCTGGGTCTGTGATTAGGACCGTCCGGGAAGTTGTACTGAAGGATAATGAGAGACAGAATGGAACAGAGCCTTCTCCAACCTGGGGTTCTCCAGATGTTCTGGACCACAACTCTTGCCCATTCTAGCTGACCTTGCCAACAGTAAAAGAGTGATCATGAGAGATGAAATCCAAAGCATCTGAAGTACTCCAGGTTGGATAAGGATGGTTTAGCCTTTTCTTTGTGCAACCTTTCTATAGCCACTTCTAGCTCCACAGAAGAAAATAATTCTTGGGATTCTAAGAAGAGCCAGTGCAAAATTAGCCAAGGGAGAGCATGGGCATCTTTGTTCTCTTCCAGCAGGGTTGGTCCAACTGCAAAAGCAACCGCAGAAGGATTTGGGCCAAAACCATTGATAAACAACAGCACACAGTCCAAGAAGCCTCCCTCTTGGTCTTGCTGAGGCTGCTGGGCAAACCCCCTGTACAACCTGAAGAGCAGCTGCTTCAGGATCTGGAGGTGAAATTGTTTGGAGCTGGCTCTAAATAAAACATACCATGAACGGCTTCAAATGACTTAAAAGAGCAGATACTGCAAAACCAATTCGTTTAGGCACGTTGCTGGCAAGTACTTTCCCATCCTTCCTGAGGTGGCCCTTGTGGAAGTGCACTTCAAAGGTGTACTAGAGATAGCAATGCTGTCCAACCAATCCCGACTGCTCCTTTCTCAGAAGAGCAAAGGAAAGCAAGAAGGTCTTCTGGCCCCCTGCTAAATTGACTGAGTGTACTGGTCCTCTTACCTCCACAAACACAAAGCAGGGAATGATAGAGATGCTTCTCTTGAGTTCCGGCTTCCCACCAGCCATGGCAATAGGACCTGGATCCCTCCACCAGGAAAGGGCTACCTGCAACACAGATACCAAAGCCAGTTTGCCAAGTACATCCCAAATAAAGGAAATATTTGCCACCATACAGGACCTCTTTCCCTCTTTCTGGGTGCACAGTGAGGACCTGTGCAGTTGGAGAGCTGTCATTTCAGAGTGCTACACCACCCAAACCCTTTCAGATTACACTCTTAAAATTCCAATCTAGGCATTTCCCATATTAAGAACTTCAACGTAAGCTACTTAACTGCTCATGTTTAGCAAAGGTTGTCTTCACTTGTAACAATTTCTGAATAAGCAGCCATGTTAGTTTGTCTCAGCATATTAGCAAAAGGAAAAGAAGGAAAAGAAAAAGAATATTGTACTACACTGGAGACTAATTTTATTTCAGTGTGAGCTTTCACAATTTAAATCCACTTCTTCGGATACTGCAACACAAATCTATAACCTGTATATTTATTCATTTTCCCACGACCAGGTGAGGAGACAGATAATAAATAAAGAGACAATGGCTTGTTAACACAGGAATCAAGCTGTAAATAACAACTGTTAGCAGGTGGTGGGCAGGGAAATAGCTGTAGGCCAGAGTTTGTTTGGGGGGGGGGCAAGGGTTTTATAACCTAACATTTTGTAGAAACCTGAGTTGTAAATATATTGTAGTGCTCTAAGAAGCACTTAAAACCTATCTAAGACAGACAGACAGACAGACAGACAGACAGACAGACAGACAGACAGACAGACAGACAGACAGACAGACAGACAGATAAAGCTGGTTAGGAAAATAGGTAGAGAAGGGGGTAATGGGATTGCAAGAGACAAGAAGTATGTACTGAGAGAACTGTTGATTTGCTTATGTATAATGTGTATCTGAGAAACTTCTGTTATTATTCAATCTGTTTCATTTCAATAAATAAGTTATGTTTCTATTCATTAGACGTATTCTGACAAACGTCATTTATATTGTGGATTAAAGTAATCCACTGCTGGCAGCGAGAAGAAAATGTGATGTGAGCCTTTGTGAGGGAAAAACAAGCAAAGGCCACTAGGGCAAACGTCACAATTGGTGGCAGCGGCAGGATTTGAAATAATCCAGTGTGGGAAAGTGAGGACCTGCTAGAGTCTCAGGGAAGACTTAGTGGTGGGGTTTCTAAACCTAGATCTGAGGGAAGTCCTTTTTTTATCTGAGGGAAGTCCTTGAAGGAGAAAAGTACCTACTCAAAATAAAATATTTAGCTCACGATTTATAGGACAAGGAGGCTAACTCAGAAGATCTGGTTTGACAGAAAGGACAGGCATGGATGGAGTAGAAGCCTTAGGTCTGAATACATCTGAGGACGTTTTGAAAAGCCAGAGGTGAAGAAGTAGTTAAGTAGAGAATTGTTTTGTGTCTGGAGGCAAGAAGATTGTCTCAGACCAAGAAAAATAGTGGCCTGTGTTAGGCCAGAGAAAGCATAGCCATCATTAGCTGCTGAGTGAGAGCTACATAGTGCCCCAGAAAAATAGTGGAAAAAGAAAACAGAAGGAAAAGTGTTTTAAAAAGAGGCCTGACTAACTCAGCAATTGAAATCAGTCCCTCTTATCAAGGAAGTACATACTTATGCCATCCAAAAGAACTAAAAAGCCAGTAATTAAGGAAATTGATCCTCAAGAGGTTGAGGGGAATGGGAATGGAAATGGAGACCCTCAAATACCCGAGAAACCTGAACCCCCAAGGGAAATTATTCAAACCTCCCTAGATCTGGAGAAATGGAAACTAGGAGTATAGACTCAGAGAACAAGCCATGGAATTAGAAATTAAAGAAAAAGCCAGAGCTGAAGAGAAAGCTAAGGAGCTAGAGCTCAGGGAACTAGAAATCAAAGTCAGGACTGAAGAGAAAGCTCAGGAACAACAGCTCAAAGCTGAGCAAGAGGCCAGACAAATGGAATTTCAAATACAGATGAAAAAATAGAATTAGCTGCTCAAAATAACAATAATAATAACAACAACAACTCTAGTGAGAGAAATCTCTCAAAAATTGATCTAAAGAAATTTCCCCAATTTAGGAAAGGAGATTGCCCTGAATCTTTCCTGATTTCATTTGAGAGAGTGTGCTGGGACTTTGAGATTAAGGATGATGAAAGGATGATAGTTTTGAGATCACAAATACTGTAAGTGGAGATTTAGCTGAGCTTTATTCTCAGATGCCTCTGGAGCAAGCTAGGGATTTTAAGGCATATAGAAAAATGGTATATTCTAGATTTGGCATAAATGCAGAACACCTTAGAAGAAAATTTCATTCCCTTACCAAAAAGCCTGAAGAATCTTATGCCCAAGTGGGGGCTAAATTGATTCAATGTTTGGAGAAATGGATGGAACGTGAAAATGTCATTTCTCTAGACCAAATGAAAAATGTAGTTGGTTTAGAACAATTTTATTCAATGTTGCCAGGATAATTGTGTTATTTGGTCAAGGACAAAAATCCTAAAAATATATTACAGGCATCTGAATTTGCTGATTTCATTAGTGAGGTTAGAGAGCCTCGATTTTCTGAGGTAAAAACGGGTAGAAAAGTGTGGGATGGAGAGAGGACCCCCATCCAGTAGAGATTACCTCAGAAGTACCCAAGCTACTAGAAGCCATTTTAGAGACAAACCCTCATCTCCAGTCATCTGAAATCTAATAGTCATGAGAGAAAAGTTAATAAGGCCCTTTGTTTTGAACCCAAGGCCAGTAAACTGTGTTATCTGTGTGGGGGAAAAGGTCATTTTTGGTTCAGTGTGAGACTCAAAAGACTAGGGATTGTAATCAGCATGAAGGTGGAAATTACAGTCAGCCTAAAAAGGTGTTTTCTGTACAGCATAATGGAACAGCTAATACTGCAGTTGAAGCTAGTCATGGAGCTGTTGCCATAGGAACACAAGTAACAGAAGGGTCAGAGAGCCAAGATCTCCCTGAGACCAGGGTTGCTCAGTGCTTTCTGTTAGAATGTAATCAGAATCTTCTACGAAGCTTGGGATATGTTATTTATGTTAATACCATGTATCTAGTGCTCAAGGATTCTTGTTCACAAGTTACAGTGATATAGTCCCTAAGGAAAATATGTTAGACCATGAAAATATTTCTATTAAAGGGATTGGTTCTGAACTAGTGGTGTTGCCCATGGCAAAAATATCAATGAGATATAAGGGATGGTCAGGAGTTTGGAGGGTGGCCATATCCAATCAAACTCCTGTCCTTTGTTTAATAGGTCTGGATTTAGCTGAGCATGTGCAGAGTGTTTTTGTGACAACGCGCTCTCAGGGAAGGCAAGTTGAAGCCACGGAGGGAAATTATGGAAATCTTCCTGAAGTAAGAGAAGTGAGAGAGACAGCTGATCTGGTTATTCTGAGAAACCCTAAGAATCTCTCTTTCATCAAAGAACAAAAGTAAGACCCTACCTTAAATGAATGCTTTGCACAAGTTAAGGAAATTCCACTGGCCCCTGAAAATCCTGAATGATGACCCAGTCTAGAGGAAAACCCTGAGACAGTAGAAATGGCTAAGGTGGTCATATCGAAAAATTTTAACAATACTTCCTTTATTTTAGAACATAAAGAAGATACCACCCTGATTCCGTAGAAGATACCACACTGAGTCCATGTTTAGAGAAAGCCAAAGAATCTCCCTTCCCGTTATCTCCTGAATACCCAGAGAAGTTCAGCGTTGATAAACACTTGTTATATACAGAAGTTTTATTAACACCTCATAGGAGTGCAGATGAACATTTCAAACAGCTAATTGTCCCTGTAAAATATAGGGAGAGGTCCTTAGAAGTAACAGAGCCAAGATTGGGAGATACTCATGGAAAGGAGGAAGACTTTTATGAAGCCAAGGAGAGAGCATTCTGTCCTGAGGACAAAGTGGTGAGGCTGAGACCCATAGAGGGGAGTGAATTGCTGTTGGCATGGTCAGAACCTGTGGATTTCTTGCAGCAGAACTGGAGGGCTGAGGAGTCTAGTCGCTCTGCAGCTGCAAAAGCACTTAAAACCTTGTAATGCAAACCTTTACCTAAGAAACTAGAAGTTAAAAGGATAGAACCAGATTAAAAAAGTCTTAACACCTCTGACATAAACCAAGTGCTTGAGATTTCACCTAAAAGAAACATACCTGTAAATTTGGGGGTGAGTCATGATAGTGGTCCCCCACATATGGAGAACTTCGCAACAAAAGTACCTGTGGGTGAATTTGTTGGTGAGGGGGAAGGCGTAAGCCGTAAGATTTCAAGGAAGAACACAGTCATAGCTGTGCTGGAAGAGTGGAAAAAACTGCCTAACCTTCCCACAGCTGAGAAACCTAAGCCACTATTCAGAAAAAGAACAGGCTGAACCCAGAAGAGGCGAACTGAGGACATCCAATGGACGTCAGAGTGCCTCATAACTATCAATCATCAGAAGAGAGTGCAGACTTCAAGATCTGCCCTTGTTGCACCAGACTACAACCAAGAGTTCATCATGTACATCGATATGTCAAGTATGGGTCTGGGAGCCATGCCGTGCCAAGCGGATGACAGTGGGAATCTACACCCAGTGACTCTGATCAGCAGGAAACTTCAACCTGGTGAGAGACATTTGTTTGCCATCAAGAAGGTGTGCCTATCAATTGTTTGGATGCTGAAAAGACTGAAGCCCTACATTTGGGGAAGGAAATTTGTCCTTTGCACCAACCCTTTCCCTCTGATGTGGCTACAAACTATGAAATCCACTAACAGTAAGCTTGCAAGATGGACATGGAACCTGCAAGACTTTGACTTTGTAATCCGCAGCTTAAAAGGGACTCAGAGCGTGGATACAGATGCCTTGTCTCAAAGACTAATGGGTAGATAAACAAAGTTTGTAAAGTTGTTTTAAATGTTCTGTTTATGTACTAGTGATGAAATGCAATTAAAATGAAATGTTTCTTTGGATGCTGATGAACTGAAAGGTGTATAGTGATGGGAAATAATAATGGCGAGTAACGTTATTAATGTAGAGGTAATGTAATTTGTCTTAATGTGAGTACAGTAATGCAAATGTTTATAATGAATGGATTGTTTTAAATGTTTAAAGTAATATATTTGGTCTAGTAAACATAGTAAGGGATGGAAAACTAGTATAAGATATGTATAAGTATATGGTAATATAATATGTTATATGTTGAAATATGTTATATGGTTTGGGACAAACTGGTAAGCATATTGTTATGATGATGATAAGTGCATTGGTTTAAAATGTACCCTGTGTTCCATTGTTCATAAGGGTAAACTGTAAAGTTTTCCCACATAAGACAAACTTTTCTTAGGGGGGAGGAATGTGGCGATTGGCCCTTTCACTCATGCCATTCATATTCATGAGCTGATTTGCACGAACCTACGAGAGAATTGGAGGGGTGGAGGCCATGAATATATAAGAGGCTTGGCTGAAGGAGGAGCAGGTATATAGAGATAGATACAGTGGTGCCTCACTAGACGATTGCCTCATGGGACGAAAAACCCACAAGACGATTGTATTTTGCTATCACTATGGTGCCTTGCAAGATGTTTTTTTTTCTATGACCGTGCTTCACAAGACTATGCTTCGCAAGACTTTTTTTTAAAGACTGATGCTTTGCAAGACTTTTTTTTTTTGAGACCGATGCATAGGGAACCTCGCAAGACGATTTTTTCAGAAGACGACGATTTTCACAGAACGAATTAAAATCGTCTTGTGAGGCACCACCGTAGATAGATATAGATAGGCTCGTTAGTCAGAGAGATGGAGCTGGTTAGGAAAATTGGTCATATAATGTCATTTACAGTATATTGTGGATTGAAGTAATCCACTGGTGGTAGCGAGAAGAAAATGTGATGTGAGCCTCTGTGAGGAAAAAAACAAGCAAGTGCCACTAGGGCCAACATCACAGTGATCTTGAAAAATGATGGCAGATGTAATTTGCTTTACTGCTTCTTGCCATCCTCCCTACCTGCTAATTGTGACAGCAATTCTTATATTTTGTGTCTAGCCAGAAGAAGGGTAGAACACGTACATAAAAATAAATTAACAGCCCTGTAGCATAGGTTGCCCTTCATCAGAAGTTATCCTGGAAATGATCTGATAATTGATAAAACTGCTAATCTACACAAGAGAGAAAATGCATTCGGCATAAAAGCAACAACACATAGTATAATACAAAAAAGAAAAGAAAAAGGAGGAAAAGAAGGAAAAGGATGTACAGTCCCCAATTACAGAAGTAGATGATGTCACTAAGAAACTTAACCAACAACAAGCTTTCATGGATGAAATTCCACTTCTTCAGACTTAAGCAGCAACATTTACTGAAACTAGTATAGTAGTTTCTGCATTGCTCTTTTTATTGATTTGTCTATTTTCATTTGCTTTCACAAAATTTTATTTTATAGTTTTAAATTTTTTTATAAAAACGCAACATGAAAACACAAATGTTTTCATTCCTGATGGTAAAAGCCGCTCAGAGTGGTCTATTTGATCAGATGGGCGGGATACAAATCAAATAAATAAATAAATAAATAAATAAAATAAAAGGCTGGACCCAGTAGTGGGATGACTCTAAAGTGTTAATGGGATCAAAGCAAGATGTATGCACAGCAGTATGTATTCAGTGAATTCAAAAGACACCTCCCTCTACACTAGCCCAGTTCTCCCCCC